TGTGTGTGTGTGTGTGTGTGTGTATTTTTCTGGAGAGACAGGGCCTCACTTTGTTGCACAGGCTGTTCTTGAACTATTGACCTCAAGCAGTCATCCTACCTTGGCCTCCAAAAGGGCTGAAATTATACGCTCAAGCTACCACACCCAGCTATAGTGAGGAAATTTGACTTCATTCCATTGGTAAGGGTGAACTACGGAAGGTTTCTGAGCAGAGGGGTGACATGACTTCATTTCCACAAGTCTGGGCACACTGCTGTGAGTAACACATGATTAGCTTTATTCTTTTTGTTAACCTTACTCTATGGCTTACACTTCCTCCAAGTCTCAGAGCAGAAGCGCGAACGTGAGCCCTGTAGCCACACATACTTTCCCGGGCTGCACAAAGCAGGAAGCAGTGGCCTTAGCTCAGTAAACTTTGCGCTCATTTAACAGCTCTGCACCTGCTCCGTAGAAGAGGAAGTGAAGCTTTCCAGAACTACTTGAGATTAAGGAGCAGAGCACAAGAACAGTACTTAAAAGACTTCTGTCACCTAAGCATGGCAAGAATAAGCTGCAGAGAAAATGGGAGTGCAGAAGAAATGGTGGAGAGGTGTGAATGACCTAACTAGCGTCATCCAAACTGAACCCTGTCCCAGTTCGACTTCTGTAAAAACCCACCTCTGCCGCCAGCTAGTGGGAAGGGAGATTTCACAGTCTGACTCACTAGATCAGTAGATGGGGTTTCTAAGCACTCTACACATAGAAGGGTCTCTGTGGACAGAGGCTCCTAGGATCCTGCTTAACCATCCAATGAGGAAGGAGAATGGTGCCCACCTGCTCCTGGGCCACCCCAGCCCGCAAAAGGATGTGAGGCCACTGCTGTCCAGGTGGAGACAGCAATGCTGGTTAGCGAGGGCTCCCCTAGAACCTCCACACCAGCCGAAGTGGGTGCTTGGGTGGACAGCACAGAGGGGGGTGAAGTCACAGCTGGGTTTCCGAGGAGAAATGCTCCCGGGGTGCTGGCATGCACCTCCGGGCCTGGCCCAGTGGGGCCTCCGGCACCATTGCTGATGGTCCACAGGCACGGATAGGGGCTGCAGAGACAGAGAAAGAGGGGAAGGGAACGTTCAATGGCACTCCAAGGAAGAAGTCCCACCTGACAAGCATGTACACAGTGCTGAGGAGGGCATGGTTGCAAGAGGGCTTCTGACCATGGCTTTATTTCTAGCTGTGACATAGATCAGTCCTGTTTCTGCAGAAAAGCTAAGAGAAGCAGCAAAGTATGGTGGAATAATGATAAGGTTAAGTGTCCAGAGACCAGGATTCTGGCACTGGCCCTGCCACCAGCAAGTTATTTGGCTTTAGACACAGAATTTCATTAATCTGGGCTCTCTTGCATCCTATGTAAAATTAGCAAGGCAGTAAAAGAAAGTTATTGAAACTGTATGATTTCTGCATATGATCTCTCCCTGGCCAGTGTAACATAATAACTAAGACACATTGCCAGCAGAAGACTGGAGTCTAAATCCCAGCTCTACTACTTATTAGCTCTGTGGCTTTGGCTAAATTATTTAATATCTCTGAGTGTCAGTTTTCTCATCTTCAAGATGTGGAGTCATAATTTTACCTACCTTACAGAGATTGCTACAAGGATTAAATAAGAAGCGGAGTATATGGTCCTTAGCATGTGGTACTCAGTAATTGAGTTGTTATCATTAATTCTTCCCTTCCTGCTCTCCACCTGTGAGCTCTGGTCCCTGGCAGAAAGGCTGGGAGCTAGAACACTTTCTTTGCCTTCTCTAGTTCTGTAGCACTGGTTCACACATGTGGTTGCACATTGGGCACACTGGAATCATTCAGGGAGTTTTTTAAAGTAATATTGGTGGCCTGGTGCAGTGGCTCACGTCTGTAATCTAAGCACTTTGGGAAGCCGAGGCAGGTGGATCACAAGGTCTAGAGTTCGAGACCAGCATGGCCAACTAAGTGAAACACCGTCTCTACTAAAAATACAAAAATTTGACGGGTGTGGTGGCACGCGCCTATAGTCCCAGCTACTCTGGAGGCTGAGGCAGGAGAATCGCTTGAACCTGGGAGGCAGAGGTTTCAGGGAGCTGAGATCACACCATTGCTCTCCAGCCTGGGTGACAGAGTGAG